GTCTGCGAGGTGCTCCGGATCGTGGGCTGGCGCTGCGCGGCGTCGTCACCACCACTGGCCTCTTCTATGGCGGTGAGTGGCAGCGCCGCCGCCGGTTGTCGGCGCTGCCGGGCCTGGCCTGCGCGGCGTCGTCACCACCACTGGCGTCTTCTATGGCGGTGAGTGGCAGCGCCGCCGCCGGTTGTCGGCGCTGCCGGGCCTGGCCTGCGCGGCGTCGTCACCACCACTGGCCTCTTCTATGGCGGTGAGTGGCAGCGCCGCCGCCGGTTGTCGGCGTGCAGCGCAGGCTTGGCCTGCGCGCGGCGGTCAGCTGAGCTGGGCTGCCATCGGCTGGTAGTGGGCTTGACCAATCTTTTTCTCTGCGCTGCGAAGAATGGTGCAAATAATGGTGGTGGTACAAAATTGCGGCCCGTGAGGGATTGCCGAAGCGAATAAATGGCACGCACCGATCGATAAAACCATCTACGCTTTATCCCGAAGCAGAGCTAAAGCTCTGCTTCACATCCATAATCCATACTAAAAGCAACAAAATCCACCCAAAAGCCATGGGACATGCGAATCATATCCTCGTATACTGTCGGAAAGTGGAAGTACGCGCAGAGCGTTCTCATCCATTGTCAGTCTCTGGCTGTTTGTTTTCGAGGACGGCGTACTTTCAACTGCACGAGCCGCTCCCAAACAGCGTGACGTGGCCGGCGTGGGCCGCCCCCCATATTGTTATCGGGACTGGCTGGACATTGCTTTGCTTGCCCGCTGTCCGGGTCTTCCGCCGTGGCGGCCACTAAAGCTGCCTGTCGGTCATTAAAGCTTGCCGTCATAACCTGCTAAGTAAGCACATCCTAGGAAGCATATGCACGACAAATAGAGATGCAAGTGCGTCACAATCCAAATGGATGAGACCACGATATACTAATGCCACTAGGTCAGAAACAGCTATTCCCAAAGCGCGCTCAGCAAGACAGCCATTGTGCGACGTGGTTTTACCGGCTGCGACGTGGTTTTACCAAGCTCACGTACATTAGGTCCTCATTTAGCCTAACGTAAACACGTACGACACCAGTAAATCAAATTCTGACTTTGGGGGGCGAAGGCGTGTGTTTCGTAAAGCGACATCATTGACTTGAAAGACAGCTCATGCCATTGTACATTTGACTGCTAATCTGGGCGGATGCTGAGAAATGTCATTGAAATTTGGACGCTAAGTATTCAAAACTGATGGGCGTCTTCAAACAATCACCTCGTGTAGTTACCGTGGTTAAAGGGTGGCTCAACGCCGCAATTTTAGCTTTTGAAAGCGTGCAGTAAGTAATTATACTGAGGACATATAGAAGCAAGCTATTTATTTTTGGCCACTTATTTTTCTCAATTGGCGCATCAAGTGATCCCATTTATCGATCGACTCCAACAAAAACTCCATTGACAGATTTTTTAAAATGCTTGCAAGCCACCTTGGCTCGCACCTTTAGTGGGTGGGCTGGATGGAATCTCGAGCGTAACATCTGTGGTTCATGGTGAAACAAAAGTGCTCAGAAGTCTCCGTTGTTGAGCAAATTCAATCTTTAAAGCTAATCGCGTAGCGGTGCCGTTTTGGTTGAGACGGATCTGGAGAGGGAAGCACAATATTTTTTTGTGATTTTGTTTGTCGGACATTTTGGGTATCACGTTGGTTTTACGCCGCGCACGAAACCAATTGGTCGGTAGCATTTTGCCGTGAAAACTGACTACCAATCTATTTAGAAGGATGACTTAGCCTCAGCGTATTGGTTTGCGCGGGTTGGTTTGCATTTTCGCAATACGAAAACATTTGTCACGGAACAGAAATCGCTGTTGAGGAATCACCGTCGTGCAACCAGTTCGACGCTCCACCGCCTTAGGATGCAACGGTGGAGCAGTTCAACTTTGCGCCAAAACGCTTAGCTGAGACAGTGTATAACGTGAAAGTACCAGTCCAGTTACGGGCGGACGAGTTTGGCTTTAGCTTCAAAGTTTATATTTGGGGTGAAAATCGCACGTTTGGTCAGTTTGACTTTTGGTCGTCCCGCATTACGCGTTCCTTTGAGTGCGGCTGCTCCTTTTCAGTGACCATGATCGGCCTCCCCGGCTCCCTGGTGACCGTCGTGCTGCGCTCCATCATCTCCAAGAACGTGGCCAAGGAGGAGCTAGGTAATGTACCCGCGAGGAGGGGTGGTGGGACTGCGCAATGCGACCAGGTTGGGGCTAGATAGGTGGGTCATGAGAGAGCTGGGAACCGTAGCCAGAGTGGGAGCTAGAACGCTGTGAACAGGGAGAGGGGGGGGGGGGGGTTGAGCAACGTGTCCAGGGTGGAGCTATGTAATGTAGACCCGATCGATCGATGTGCGTGCGTGTGTATGTTTACTCGCTGAGCGTGCGTAGGTGTTGCAGCGAGGAGGCGCCCGCCTACACACGTGTAGCGCTGGTGTCCGTGGGTACGTACTCCCGGCCTTACAACAAGCTCTACGCTGTACACCGAGGCACCGTGCTCGCACACGCGCACACGACGGCGTGTGGTCCGCAGGCGTGGTGTTCTCGTTCCTGGCGGCGGTGGAGTCGATCTGCGCGATGGCGACGGCGTCTGCCTTCCTGCTGCTTTACAACGCCGTGCTGGACCGCGGGCCGGGCGTCGTCTGGTGATCGCCGCTGGAGTCACGTCGCCCGCCCTGCTGGTACTGCTGTAAGTGCTGACTGGGCTCGCGCCGCCCTGCTGGTCCTGCTGTAAGTGCTGACTGGGCTCGCGCCGCCCTGCTGGTCCTGCTGTAAGTGCTGACTGGGCTCGCGCCGCCCTGCTGGTCCTGCTGTAAGTGCTGGCTGGGCTCGCGCCGCCCTGCTGGTCCTGCTGTAAGTGCTGACTGTGCTCGCGCCGCCCTGCTGGTCCTGCTATAAGTGCTGACTGGGCTCACACCGCCGAGCGGATCAGGCTCAGCAAACGCTCAGTCTTGGCTGGTCTGCTGTGTCGGTCCGGTGGGCTCGGCTGGCCCGTTTGTAGACCGATTCATGGTAGGTCTTACTGTAGGCCGATGTGCCCGGCTGGCTGGGGTAGACCGCTTCTGTGTGAAAGGGTCCATCTGGACTGGCCCTCTAGGTAGCCTGTCTGGGCTCCCTGTTGATAGTGATCTGGTCTGTTCTTACAGTAAGTGTGCCATCTGGGCTAGTCGTGTGGTAAAACAGCCGCTCTGTAACTGAAGTTGTGAGACGACCTAGTGGCAATATTTTTGTTTTACTCCTACCTATGTACTTGTCTCTTGAAAATGGCTTTAAAATGATTCTCCAAAAGGATCCTCAAGGTCTAGTTGCAAATCCCAAGCCATAAAAAATGGTGGGGTCCTTTGTCAAGCTGAAATTATCCTAAGCCAAGGTGGCAGACCATGTAGGGAAATAGTGGGAGATCTCAAGGCATCAACGCTGCTTTACTCATTTGGTATTCAGCCACTGAAGAGTGAGTTATCAGTCGCTGTGGACTATGGATGTACTGAGAGCAGGTAACGATATATCACCGAGGTCGTACTTGATATCTAGAATGTTTGAGAGTAACTGCAGATCACACAAATGGTAACTGGTAAAATGGTAGTTGTGCCCCCGTTCTGTTGTCACCATTGTCCTAGGTGCTCATTTGTTTCATCGCTGTTGTTGCTTTGAATATTTTTGACCTCCGTCGTATGTGACTAGCCATGTGCACTGGTTAGAGGACTGGGTTGCGCTATGTAACGCCGCCACGACCCTGATTGAAAGGACCCTAGCGTGCTGACTTGCCATGAACTGCGTGGGATTTTCGCTCCGCGTGTTGCTACTGTTCATTCTGCACAGATTGAGCTTTTTGGACAGGATCCGGAAAAGCTACAAGAGTGACTTTATATTACATAACACGACATAAATCTACACATCCATCCTGGACACAAAATGGCTGCGGCTGTCGATGCGTCTCTAAGCCCGAATTAACAACGGGACTACCCTATAAACAAACAGGACGCTCTTGGTGTTATCAGATGATCATCAAAGCCTTAAAAACAAGTTTATGAGGCTTCTGGTCTGGAATCTCTGGTTGGTCCTGAGTTTCCTCGCTGGGACGCTGATGTTCGTCGGCGCCGCGCCGTTGTGTCGCGGTACACACCTGCCACCTGAGCGCTGCCGCGGCCGCGCCGGCCCAGGACCGCTGCGTGGCCGCTGAGCCAGGCGGCGGCCGTTCCAGGGTGTGCCTGGTGCGGGAGCGGCGCGGCGACATGGGCTACGCCCAGGTGCTGAGCGAGCAGGAGGAGCGCGACAGACGCGAGGAGAGTCAGGAGCCGGAGGACAACACCGACGACGCCACCATATTCCAGCACTGAGCCGGACAGCCCGACCCTCCCCCACGCTGAAGCCGGCGTGCAACTCGCACTGGAGCGTTGTATGGTATCTGCCGCAAAGCGAAGACAGGCGCGGTCCCAGTGGCCACGTAGTGGTCCATTTTGCAGGACGCGGGGCGGCGGAAAGCGTCACAGATGTCTGAAGGGATACGCTTACGCCGTACGGCAGTGCCTGCGCCTGCCGTGGTCTGTTTCACGGCTCGCGTGCCTTGTCACAGCGCTGGCAGTGCAGCGTAGCAGCTCTCTGTGGGACATGCCGCTGCCCTCAGGGATTGTCCATGATAGCGAATGTAACGCGCGCATAATTAAAAGCACCTCGTTCGCAGCTGATCACGAGGCTGGCCTTTTCATGGTGTGGTATGCTGTGTGTCATTCGTTTATGTAGACATATCTATATTGCCTAATTTTTAAGATCGCATTTTTACACGGCTGTCGGTAGTTTGTAACTATGTGCTTATGAATTAGTGGAGGACTCCATACAGTAATGGATTTGTCCGTATGAATGGTTCTGTTTGTAGTGCTGTTTTTCAGCGCCACTTCCTTTTACGGTTGGTCTTACCCAGATGTCGGGGTGCCCATGAGCTGCGCCCATGAGGGTGCCCTGCCGCAAGATTTTCTACCAATTGTGCTTCAATCCCCACCCCATTGTGGGCGTGGTGGGCTGCGACTTATCGCCAAAGATCAAAGAACGGTGGCGGTCGGACCTGCAAGAGGACACGAGTCAACGGGCGAGACTCGGCTAGTCTCGGTGTGAAGGATCACACTTGTATTCCCGAAGCGCTCGGTAATTTTAGTCTACCGCAAATATATTTTACCAGGTGCTTTGTGGTGCGGCCTTTCAAGTATGGGCTCCATTGCGATGTAAACGAGGCGACGCGACGAGATTCGGGTGGCCTGACCCGATGAACGCACTACGCACAGACAAAGTGCCGTTGGCTCACAAGTGCTGATTTTATTGTGTTGAAGGGAGGTTTGAACGAGTGTTTTGCAGGGATGTCTTTCGGGCTAAGTCTGTTCTTCTGCGACCAATTGACCGGAGGATAACACGGCACATCCCTTAAAATGGCAAGAGCTCGTTGGTGGGGTAATTATATGGCCAAAACAGCATTCTGTGAGTTTTAGAGGCGTGCGGCTTACCGATAAGGAACTAGGAGATAAAAATACGCGATGGCGTCTCAAACCCTATTTGAAGTTGCGCTTACGAAAACAGTTTGCGTGCTATAAAGTTTGTGAGAAGTTCAATCAGATGGCAAAGTGCCTCTGTGATGGATTGTGTCAGTATTACATTCGAGGTCAGTTAGATGCATACAGTGACCTTGTTTGACCTTTCACCTAATTTTGCTTAAAAATGTAAGCCTTCAATTTCTCTGAAACCGGTATGCACTTGGAGACCAATATATCTTCGTTCAGAGTAAGACAGGAATCGACAAGATCTTGTCCAGACATGTCGCATATCGAACTCGAACATTGGCGGTCTCGCACGGCCACACGCCATGAGCCGGTCGTCCGGTGTGGGGTGACCGGCGCGGTGGGCTTACCCCGCCGAAAGCTGGGACTGTGACATTAAGATCACTCATTACTATCTAAAAGCCAGTCACTTAGGCATTCTTCCGGAATTCTAAAACATTGAATGGCAGATGTGTGTTATCGACCTACGTGCCTGTCGCCATTCACGAATCGGGTAGATGGCAACGCCTCGCGCTTGTAGCCCTCACAGCGCATCGATAACCATGATTTAAACCTGACGCGGAGCTCGACATGCGAGGAAACAAACAGATGGTCTTAGGTTACATTGTTTTGTCCAGTGAGGCCCTGACCCGGAGCAAAGTTGCCTCGTGTCCTGGCCCAGCACGCCTGTAAACGCGCGCATGAAATACGGATTACTGGGCAAAAGCGTCGTCATCCGCTGTTCCTGTCGATGTGATCACACCAACGAGTTTGTAGAAACCACACTACGGCTACGAGCTCCGGATCAACGGCAGGATCAAGCTCAGCAACGGAAGAGCGAGACCGGAACGCGACATTACAATCTCGCGATTCATGACTGATTAATAATTATCGTCAAGATTTTGAGGTGCACTTTGTAACAATTGCACGCAATAATTTCTGCAGCTGGAGAAATTTCTGTCCGTTGATGTTAGAACACTCATTTCTCCGTCCATGCTCATGTTCAAAATATATCTTGTGAAACAATATATTGTATAACACATATTGTAAAACATATACATGATATATTTGCTTTGCAAATGCGAATGCATTATGACCGACAATAATATGTCAGTCACTTGCCTACTTTTTCATCGCATTATTCGACCCCTGGCCCTTACCGCGCCCAGGTGTGTATCCAGAGGCTTGGCAGGAGAGGGAACAAGGTTGGCAAAGTGCCCCTTTGTAGTAAAAGACCAAATGAAATTGTTGGATATGGTCAATTTGTTAATGAAAGCACGTTTTTCTTCCACATTTTCCTTTTCTACCTTCTATCTCTGTAAAAGGAGCCATAAGCTACCGGAAGACCAATCCCACCTGAATTTTATAGTCAATCAATGTTTATCAAATCAGTATAATCACAATTAAGACCAATCACAATATGGCGAAAAGAAATCACACGTTAAACGACTGCATGCAATGAATCACCGGCGATCTTTACTTTAAATTGGCTCAGTGGACTCTGACGGATAGAACTCGGGAGATTTCCCAGAATCTTTTTCTGGGCTGTACAGCGACATTAAAGTCAGTGGGGATAGGAATGGGTGAACAACTTGTTTTAACATGGCCAAGTCATGTTTGTCTGGAAATGTTCCACACCCAGCCAGAACTGATTGGTGATAAAAATAATGCAACGTAGTTTTGAGCATTCGCGTTGCGCAAATCTCAACAACAAAAACTTCGATACAGGCGTTGCAGTCTTCATAGGCCGCGCAGCGTCGGCTCTGCGGCTAACACTGAGTCGTGGCCAGCGGGTGGACAAAGATGGTAACGCGTATGAAGTAAGCACCTTTCAAAAATTTTAGGACATCAAACGGTACCATTTAAATGTGGTCGGGCGTGTAGTTCACCTGTGCTACTTTTAGAAACTTAGATTGATGAATTGAACGGACTGGCCTTTACAGCTCCATGAAGTGGTGCTGGAATCTGGTGGTAGAAGTGGAGGAGTGAAGGTCGAATCTCTAGCTTTTGTGTTGCTGTATTTGTTGATTTTTCCAGAAAATAATCTCAACGTGTTAAAAAAGTATGCCCAGCCTAATATTTAAAAGGTACACATCAATTTTTAAGGCTTTGGGAA